TTTTCTTTTAAAAACATAACTATTCATAATGCTCCCTAAATAATAAAAAATAAATTACAGTGAAAGCAATGAAGATTTTTTAGGTTTTGAACCAAACTAAATAACAGTAAACTTTTTTTTTGATTTATGGTATTTTCTTATTTTGATGTTTTGAGCTCTTTTGTGTTTAAAACAATATATACTAATTTTCAAAGTATCAAATTGAATTTTTGTTCAATAAAAATCTTTGAAATGCAACTGTAGCCTTTTTTTCCCCAAAACTTTGTCTTCAAAATAAGGGTGCGTCTTATACTCCGAAAAATACGGTATTTGATGGATAAACACTTTATAAAACTGTGTATAAAAATTATCAGTAAGTCTAAGGCTGATATACAGACAAATACTTCATATACCTTGAACATCTCTGAATAACAAATACTCATAATATTAGGTTTAATCAATATCTTTCAATGTACTTCAAAGTGTTGTGAAATCATTTTGCCAATTGCTCAAAAGGATAGTGACTGTTATATAAACATTACTGTGATTTTGGTGCTGGAAAATTCTACTAATGAAGATCAAAAGTTTTTAAGCAGTTAACAAAAATACTTAAATGTTTGGTTTCATCATATCATAATTTATTTTCCAAGATAATAAAAAAGTAGCTTTGTGAAAAGCCATAAATGGGGTATTTCTCAAAGCAATAACACTTATACACTTCTGTATGAAATACGTTACTGTCTCTGAATTACTAAAAATTACATATAGTTTTTTGCTATCTAATTATTTGTGTTTTGTATTTTTTTCTTCAAATATAAACCTTAGAATAATGATCTTTTTTTTTTGGGTGCAACTGATTTGTACACTCGTTTTTTACAGCGGGTAAAGTAACAACAAATGAAGAACTAGAAGATATGTTGGAAACTGGAAATCCTGCAATTTTCACACAAGGAGTGAGTCCATATTATCTCTTGTTTTTTTTACGTGAATGGTTAAAAAGAACGTAAAAATTATAGTGCAGATTTTGTTACTTAAGTGAAGGAAGTATACTATTCGGTTTAAAATTTGTATTATCATCATTTTGTTTCTGATGCCATATGTAAATTCTCAAGTTTTGGAGTTAGAAGGATGCAATAATTCATGGAAGATACCATTTACTTGAATTAATTTAAATCATTTTTCATCAATGATTTTTCTGTGATACACTAATTAGGCTTAGCAGTAATAAACAAATTTAGGCTGTATTAAACGTTCCAGATGTTCTTTGTATGATTATTATGAGTATATGAATTGATAAAATTGAGATTGCAAGTTTTTAGGTTTTTGACTTAACAGGTATTATAAGTTCAGTAACATAACTTTTTTAATACTTTATTGAACACTTTGTATATATTTTTTGCATTGTTTCATATTTGATTTAAGAATTTGATCTAATACTCTAATTAAAACAGGAGTAACTTTGATTAATTTTAAAGATAACTTGCTGATGTATTAAAGTAGGTTAGGATAAGATATATGTTTCTATATTTTTATCTCCAGTATTGTCTGCTGAAATTTATGCTCAGTTGCAGATCATACACACTTTTACTACTGTTGTTAATACAGCTGTGGATGTTTCAACAACTATATATTAACAATTAACTGTCTGAATACTACTGTTGTTAATACAGTTGTGGATGTTTCAACAACTATACATCAACAATTACCAGCCTGAATACTACTGTTGTTAATACAGTTTTGGATGTTTCAACAACTATATATTAACAATTAACTGTCTGAATACTACTGTTGTTAATACAGTTATGGACGTTTCAACAACTATGCATCAACAATTACCAGCCTGAATACTACTGTTGTTAATACAGTTGTGGATGTTTCAACAACTATATATTAACAATTAACTGTCTGAATACTACTGTTGTTAATACAGTTATGGACGTTTCAACAACTACACATCAACAATTAACTGTCTGAATACTACTGTTGTTAATACAGTTGTTGATGTTTCAGCAGCTATACATCAACACTGAACTGTATGAATACAGTTATACATCAAAAATTACCAGACTGAATACTACTACTGTTAATACAGTTGTGGATGTTTCAGCAGTTATACTATAGGTTCTATAGTAGTGTTAAGTAGTATACATTGGTTCATTTCGAACAGTATAGTTGTTTTTTAAATATTTTCCTCCTGTTTTGTTTTTTTAAAGATCATTATGGAGACACAGCAAGCCAAACAAACACTAGCTGATATTGAAGCCCGTCACAATGATATCATTAAGCTGGAGAACAGTATCCGAGAGCTGCACGATATGTTCATGGACATGGCCATGTTAGTTGAAAGTCAGGTAGGTGATGGTTGTACTAAACGACTGAGTTTGTTGAGAGGTCACTGTTTTGTTTTGTACTCATTGAAACTAACCAAGGGAGTTGAGTTTCATAGAAACTAAAATTGGATCACTTAACACTTTGACAAGAAGAAGAAGTTTCTTAAGTTAGTTGAATCGCATGGTGAAATATGAGGTTCATTTATGTTAGTTAAAATCAGTTAACTGGGAAATATGACAGATAAAAGTTGATCACCTATTTTAATGACTTTTCATAAGTATTTCCAAAATCATAAATAGATAAGTACACTTTGGTCACCACATGAATTCTGTGAACGGCAGAAAGTGTGTATCGAATACATAGTCTGTGTTGTTAGCAAAAAAACATGTTGTTTCCTGTAACAGTTTAAAGTAGAAGCTCAAATTATGTGATTACATGGCCTGAATCCTCATATTTAAAAACTTTTGTTTTGTAGGGAGAAATGATTGATAGGATTGAATATCAAGTGGAACATGCAAAGGATTATATAGAAGCGGCTAAGCAGGATACGAAAAAGGCTCTTGTTTATCAGAGTAAAGCTAGAAGGGTAAGTAATGGACATAAAACTTGTTAGTGTTCAAATGAAGGAGTCAAATTAACCTGTTTTTAAGAGCATGTTGTATTAGATCTCTGAGATATGGTAGTAATTCTTGGTTGTGTTTAGGGAAGTGACATATGTTGACATCAAGATGTACCCAGTAATCACTAGAATTGGCACTTTGTGATATACACTACTCCTGAAGAAAAATTACAAGTCTGAAGACTTGAGGTGAACACCTATTTTCTAGGTCTGAAGACTTGAGGTGAACACCTGTTTTCTAGGTCAGCAGACTTGAGGTGAACACCTATTTTCTAGGTCTGCAGACTTGAGGTGAACACCTATTTTCTAGGTCTGCAGACCTGAGGCGAGCACCTGTCTTCTAGGTCTGCAGACTTGAGGTGAACACCTGTTTTCTAGGTCTGCAGACTTGAGGCGAGCACCTGTTTTCTAGGTCTGCAGACTTGAGATGAACACCTATTTTCTAGACTTGAGGTGAGTATCTGTTTTCTAGGTCTGCAGACTTGAGGCGAGCACCTGTTTTCTAGGTCTGCAGACTTGAGGCGAGCACCTGTTTTCTAGGTTTGCAGACTTGAGGCGAGCACCTGGTTTCTAGGTCTGCAGACTTGAGGTGAGCACCTATTTTCTAGGTCTGCAGACTTGAGATGAATACCTGTTTTCTAGGTCTGCAGACTTGAGATGAATACCTGTTTTCTAGGTCTGCAGACTTGAGATGAACACCTGTTTTCTAGGTCTGCAGACTTGAGGTGAGCATCTATTTTCTAGGTCTGCAGACTTGAGATGAACACCTGTTTTCTAGGTCTGCAGACTTGAGGCGAGCACCTGTTTTCTAGACTTGAGGTGAGCACCTGTTTTCTAAGGAGATCTAAAAAGTCCAGTTTATTTTTATATTAATTAGTTAGTGTAAAGTTAAGTTTCAGTCGATACTGGAAATTCATAATTGGATTTATTCAGAATTTGTCAATAAATAGATCTTTAGGAAAATTAATTTATTTTGACACAAAGCATTTTTTATGCGTTAATTCTGTAACTGCCAGACTAGAGCAGGTGAATACAACGATCCAAATTAGTCATTCTTATCATTGTTGTATACCTATATAAAAATGATTTAAAAATGCATTTATTTCATTAAACATACTACGACAGAATGGTAACAAAATAATTGTTATACTTGTTCAAATCTCAAACTTTTTTCTTGATTTTGAGATTTAACAAACAAATACGTGTTCTAGGATATTAGGAGTGCCTTCTACATGTACAAAAATAATTAAATTTTCATCAAAAATGTCTGGAAATTCAGTATTAATTTCAAAACTATTGTTAATTCATATTGATTTCTTCCACATTAGAGGTTAAGTGTAACTTCAAAGTTTTTCGACCAAGTTTAGATCTAACTTTATTATAATGTTCAGTTTAGTTTGAAAAGAAAAGTTTTTTTTTCATTAGTCCTTTTTAAATTATTTCATCCTGGTTTATAAATTAGAAAAGTTAAAATTTAAAAAAAATTGTTTTTTTATTTATTTGTATGATTTCAGACACTTTTTCATTTGAGAAAGTTTTTAAGTATTTTTTTCTCGTATATTAAGTTTTATTGATTTATTTTATTTTGTGCAGTATTAGTGAATCTTTTGTTCCAAATTGGCTTACATTTTATTACATCACTATGCTTTATTTTTATATTTTGGTTTTGTTATTTATGTTTATTTTTTCCTTTCCCAGAAAAAGTTCTATATAATTATCCTGGCCATAGTATTGATTGGAGTATTAACCCTTATCGTTGCGATTTCCATCGGTGCTATCCCTTAGTGATGGGTTTGTTAAAGCAATGAAAAAGGTGAAGTCAAAATAAACATTTTAAACAACAATCCTAGGACTATCAACAATGAATTTTACCTCGGGTGTTTACTGTGTATGGATCGAGCATCATCTGGCACTAGTGGGTGTGCACATTCCAAATTTATGATGATGAAAACGTACCCTGCTGAAAAAGGATTCATCCCTTTCTTTGCAGTATATTTTGTATATATTTTAATCAGAACTTTATTTCTCTGTTATACCATCAGATTTTGAAGTTTTAAAAACTTATTTCAACACTTGTCACACATTTTTTCTTAAATACCTCATGTCAGTTAACCCTAAAGATACCGAAGTAGATTGTAATACTTGTGTAGGAATTTATGAGAAAGCTGTTTGCTTTTATTTCATGACTGTTAATGTTTTCATTAACTTTTTTTTCATCCCTTTTTTTAAGTTTGTTTGGTTGATTTAAAAAAAGTTGTTAATTTTAGTGAGAATTAATTGATTGTTAATGTGTTATTCAAGTTTTTTGGATCAATTTAATCGATAAAACAGTGAAAAGATGTAGATTCGCTTTTCCATGTTCGTAAGGTTGTACTCGTGATGGGTTTTCTTCTTACTGTTCAGAATGTGTTAAAAAGAGAAGAAAAAGATTTATTCAGTCGTGAAAACTAGCTAAAAAATGACACCAACATTAAATATGTTAAGCAATGTGAAACTCGAGGGCCAATCCCATGCACACACACACTACTTTGAGGGGGGGGGGACACACCATTTTTCAGGCTTCTATTACCACCATTACTTGTCAGAAGGTTTGAGTTTTGTTATTTTATCTCCATATCGGTTAACCGTATACATTCTACTCATTATTTTATGTTGGAGCCTAATCCTGATATTAGATAAATGTGAAAGCTTATTTTGAGGAATCTCTTAAAATTCATAACACATTTTCTTAGTTAATATACGTGTATGCGAGTCTCATAGACAAAATTCACTGTTAACCTTTATTTTAAAAATTGTTCAACTTGCAAACATATATCATACACACTTTCTTTTCATCTGTATAGTCACCCATTATATATGCATTTCCTAAACAAATATAAAAATAATATATATATAATACAATGCCCACGAGTACAGATTTTTGAGAAACCCTGTATAAGTGAATGAATTCAACTGCATATAGTATATATTAAATGCTAGTCAATTTTGTTCAGTGCTATTTGTGTAAAAGCTTTCTAATGAAACATTTTTCGTTACTGATACACAATTATAGTTTATGTGTTATGAATCTGTTAAGTAAGAATTACTAAGATTAATTAGTTGCTGTTTTGGTAAAAAAGTAAGTTTGTTTTAGAGGCAAAATTTCAGAATGATTGTTCAGGCTAGTCAGGTTTCTCACAACAGTGAAAGCTTTGCAATTTTTATTTTCAGAACTTTGTAAAAACAATTGACATTTAGTGAAACTGTTTGCAATATCATGTATCTTTTACGTTTATCGTTTTGTCAGTGAGTCTGATTTATCACAAAGTATTTAATCCAAACTTTATATTTTTACATGCATTTTTTTATTCAAGAAAAGTATTGTAGAGTTGTGTAAAAGATGTTTTAGGTACTGGGAACTGATTTCTTTTGGATAGTGTAACAAGCTTCATCCACTTTTGGTGGTGAAGACAACATTCCAAAGAGATAGTGTATGTTTTCATTAGTCAGAGACTTGTGTAAAAGAGGTTTTAGGTAATTTTGTTTTGGAGAGTATAATGGGGGTTCATCCACTTCCAGTTGTATGAAGACAATATTCCTAAGAGATAGTGTATGTCTTCATTAGTCAGAAAGTTGTGTAAAAGAGGTTTTAGGTAATTTTGTTTTGGAGAGTGTAATGGGGGTTCATCCACTTCCAGTTGTATGAAGACAATATTCCTAAGAGATAGTGTATGTCTTCATTAGTCAGAGAGTTGTGTAAAAGAGGTTTTAGGTAATTTTGTTTTGGAGAGTGTAATGGGGTTCATCCACTTCTAGTTGTATGAAGACAATATTCCTAAGAGATAGTGTATGTCTTCATTAGTCAGAGAGTTGTTTAAAAGAGGTTTTAGGTAATTTTGTTTTGGATTGTGTGATGGGATTCATCCACTTCCAGTGGTATGAAGACAACATTCCAAAGAGATAGTGTATGTCTTCATTAGTCAGAGAGTTGTTTAAAAGAGGTTTTAAGTAATTTTGTTTTGGAGTGTGTGATGGGATTCATCCACTTCCAGTGGTATGAAGACAACATTCCAAAGAGATAGTGTATGTCTTCATTAGTCAGAGAGTTGTTTAAAAGAGGTTTTAAGTAATTTTGTTTTGGAGTGTGTGATGGGATTCATCCACTTCCAGTGGTATGAA